TGTCTCTACCTCCCAAGAGCTGGGGTCACAGATACGTACCACACCTAGCTTCATTTTGCTTTGTGAGAAGTAATGATGAGATGTTCCTTGCTAACCCTATCATCATAGCATGTCACCTCCAAGGAAAGCAGAACTCCATGCAAAATCCATATGTTAAAAAGAATTAAGCTTGGGCTAATCAGCGTACTTGGTGAGCTTGACAGTTTTTCTTGTCTTCACAGTTGCTTCCAGTTTAGTGTCAAATATGATACACGCTTGTAGAATGTCCAACAAACTATCTCCTGTTGGGGAAAGGCACACGGCCTTCTGGGAGTCACTGTGTAGGTTAGGAAGAGAGCGTGAAGTGTACAAGAACCCTGGGGTTTCATGCGAGTGCATAGTGTGCGCGCACGCGCGCGCGCGAGTGCGTGCGTGTGTGTGTGTGTGTGTGTGTGTGTGTGTGTGTGTGTGTGTGTGTGTGTGTGTTGGAATAGAGGAAGGGATTGAAATGTCAACCCTAGGTTGTTTCATGTTCTTCTGTTTCACAAAAACTTCACTCACTGGTGAGTCATTATCTCTAGGAATTGGCTAGCCCTGGGAGAAGCTGTGGGTGGGCAAGACTTGTCTGTGTATCAAAGCATCAGGGCAAATGAAATAAAAGTCATGGTTAATGGTACAGCACTTAGGAGCTCATGATACTATTAGCATGGTAAAGAGAATGGAGAAACCATTAAAGGTGATCCTTTATGATGCCACTGCAATTATCTGAGCAAAATGACCACACGCAGTCTCACGGGCTGAAGCATCCTGTATCCCTTCGGGGGGAGGTCTTCTTTACTAGGTGGCTAAGATGATGGGATTCATATCCACAGTGCCAGCTGCTATTCTCACCCTATAAAACGCTTTGAGCTCCCAAAAGCAGAGTCAAAGCTACATCCTAATGACACTACATCATCTGATCTCTGGCCAGTTTTCCTTCATTTTTACCTTGAGCTCTTTTAAGCACACAATCCAACTCACCACCATCCCCTTCCCCACCCTGTCTCACCTTCCATGTTTCTTCCTTTCTAGAGCAGAGTTGGGCTAAGTTTACCCATAACCTGCAGCTCAAAGATGGCAACTTAAACACTAGATTGGATTCATCTCTCCAGGCCATGGATGTGCATCATGTCCCTGTGTCCTTCATCATTTATTTCTGAACAAGACTTTTTATCCTCTGAATCCTCAGAGGACTGATTATCCGGGACACACAGTTTTAGTTGTCCCCACAAATGCTACACTGTGAGGCCCACAGAAACTCGGAGTTCGTCACTCCCCTGCATTAGCTCCTTCCCACCCAGCCATGCTCTGCTGTTATGGACCACGAGTTCCGAGTGCCTTATCTCACAAGGTTCTATCTGCCAGTCCGGGAAACAGTAAGTCACTTGTTGAAGGTCACATGACTGGATGGTGGGGGAACAGCTTCTGCATCTGTGCCTTGGAGCAGGAGGATAGCTCAGAGTGTACTCACCATGAAAGCCCTCACCATGAAAACCCGATGACCTGGATTTAATCTCTAGATCCTAGGTAAAAAGTCAGATGCTGTAGAGCACATCTGGAATCTCCACACTCCTGCACTGACTTAGGAATAGAGACATGAGATTGGGCTGGAAGCCATGGGCTAGGAAGTGTGCCATGCATGGCAAAAAGCAAAAGACCTCCATCTTGATCAGGTGAGAAGCAAGAATCAGCTCCCCAAAGTTGTCATCTAGTCTCCACAAGCACACACACAAAGACAAAACTAAAAACTAAAACCACGCATTCCAGTGGCAGCATTCAATCATCCCCTCAATGATAAAACTCCCCTAAGCACAGTGGCCTCACCTAGGGAAAAGTTTACTTTTCTTTTACCTGAAATAGAAGCCGGCAGTCCAGGTGGATCGTGTGCCACCTGGAGTTAGATTCTGGGCTTCTTCCTTCTCAGATGGGTGACTCATTGCCAAATGTACCTCATCCAAACTTTAGCAGGCAGAAAGGAGGGAAGAAAAAAACTGTTCTTTTCCCATTGGAATCTCAGTCAGGTTCGAATCCTTCGAACCTGGCTGCTGACTTTGTTGCTGGGGACCATTCTTAGGTCATGAGAGTGGGGCTCTGGTGGTGACATTAGTGGCTTTATAAGAAGAGAAATCTGAGCTAGCCTGCTCTCTCTGTCTCACCCTGGGACACGCTCTGTCATGCAATCTATTTGCTATTACTTTATTTTAAAGGTTTACTTTATTTTTGAATTACATGTCTGTGCGTGGGTGTGAGACTGTCATCAGTGCTCTGAGAGGTTAGGGACACTGGGTCCCCTGAAGCTGGAGTTCCAGGAAGTTAGTTGTGAGCTACTGGACATGCGTGCTGGGAACCAAACTTGGGCCTTCTCTAAGAACAGTATGCACTCTTATCTCCTGAGTCATCTTTCTAGCTCCCTACTTAATTTTGTACATTTTTTGGTGTTGAGATTCAAATCCCAAACCCTGTACATGCTAATACTCAATCTGCCCCTGAGCTATCCTCCTAGCTGCTCCTCCGTGTTCTAAGGCAGCTGGAAGGCCCTTACCAGGTGCTACTGGGATACTGGCACCGTGGCTATAGTTTCACTCAGGCTTGGAGGTTAGTTCAGTTCTAGAATTCTGACTTTACCTTGTAGAAGCTGATGGACATGGGAAACTGAATCTCAGCTTTTGGAGTCTATAATTTTTTTTTTTAAGATTTATTTATTTATTATGTATACAGTGAGTGTTGGGCCTGCAGGCCAGAAGAGGGCACCAGATCTCATTGTAGATGGTTGTGAGCCACCATGTGGTTGCTGGGAATTGAACTCAGGACCTCTGGAAGAACAGCCGGTGCTCTTAACCTCTGAGCCATCTCTCCAGCCCACACACACACTCTTTACTGTGTGTGAATGTTTTGTCTCATGTATGTATATGCACCATATATGTGCAGTGTTCCCAGAGACCAGAAGAGGGCAGCAGCTCCTCTGGAACTGGAGATACCAACAGATGTGAGCCACCACACAGATGCTGAGGATTGAACCCAGGTCCTCTAGAAGAGTGGCCAATACTTTTAACTGCTGAGCCATCTCTCCAGTCCTGGAGTGTGTTGTATTTTGTCAACATATATGTATGTGTACCACATGCATTCTGGTGCCCGCAGAGGTCAGAAAAGGGTATCAGATTCCCTGGAACTGGAGTTATAGATGGGTGTGAGCCATCATGTGGGTGCTGGGACTTGAACCTGGGTCTCCTGCAAGAGCAACAAGCGCTCTTAACTGCTGAGGCATCTCTCCATCTCCCCCATCCTGAGTCCTTTGCATGTGATGATGGATGGGAGCAGGAGCTAGATAGCCTTATGTCTATCTCAGTCCCCAAATTGAAGTTACTTCAGGACATGAGAAATGTGTCTTGCTTGCTGTGACTTTGGCCTTTAAGACTCAGTCTTTGTCCTTCAAGAGGAAAACAAAGGATGATTCCAAATAGAGCCACAATGTTAAGCAAAAAGCAGCTTGCTTCACTCAGGGGATCGAGGAAGCTGCATCTCTTGGAAACTTGCCTTCCACAGTGACTTGCAAACAGCAACTGTAGCTTAATTATTCAGGAACATTCCAGGAACAGTCTCTGGGCCTTTGCACCTCCCTTTTCTGGAACATCACAGGTCATTTCCTCAGAGACTTTCAAGAAGTTATTTAGAGAGTTATTACAGTGTGAATAAGGAAGGCTGTAACTCCAAGACATCACAACTGTATTGGGAGAAACTCAGAATTTTATCTGCTTCTTTTGCTGTTTCTTGGAGAGAGTAGATTACTGGTTTTATTTTTTAAGATTTATTTATTTTATTTTATGAGTGTTTTGCTTGCATGTATGTCTGTGTACCATGTGCATGCACGGTGCCCTTGGAAGTCGGAACAGGGTATCAGATATCCCATAAAACTGAAGTTATAGATGGCTGTGAGCCACCACATGGTGCTGGGAACAATCCGGTCTTCTGCAACAGCTGCAAGTGCTCTTAACCCCAAGCCATCTCTCCATCCATGTTATTATTACTTTGAGTCAAGGCTCATGTATCTTAGGCCGGCCTCAGATTCACTGTGTGACTGAAGATGACCTTGTATTCCAGAGCCTCTGTCCTCTACTTCTCAAGTGCTGAGAACATAAACATGCACCACAAAACCTGGCCGATAATAGATGATTTTTTTTTCTTAGCTACTATTGTCAGGTTGAGGCACCCAGCAGAGTCTAAGACATGGGGAGTATAAATTATCTTTTTTTCCCCTTGCTGTTTTAGTTAGCATTTCTATTACTGTAAAGAGTCACCATGACCATGGCAGCTCTTATAAAGGGAAGCATTTAATTGGGGCTTGCTTACAGTTTCCGAGGTTTAGTCCATCATCAAGGTGGCAGGAAGCATGGCAGCATGCAGGCGGGACATGGTGCTGGAGAGGAAGCTGAGAGTTCCACATCTTGATCCACAGGCAACAGGAAGTGAACAACCATGATACTGGCTGTAGCTTGAGCACAGGAGACCGCAAAGCCCGCCCCCACAGTGACACACTTCCTCCCACAAGGCTACACCTACTCCAATAAGGCCACACCTCCCAATAGTGTCACTCCCTTTGGGGACCATTTTCTTTCAAACCACCACACTTGCCAAACAGTTCTTTCTATATTTTAGGTCAGCCAGGGTTGTATCCAGGAAGTGTTTGTCTGTCACAAGCTCATCACGATTCAAAAGAGAGCCAGAAGTCTCTTCCTTAGAAGAAGGAGCTACTCCCAAGACTATTTGCACTGACTTAGCCAAGGACAGACTTTCATAAACACCCTAATAGTTTCCCTCACCACCACCACCACCAGCTGCCAATAATAGGTTTCTCTGACAACACAGTAAACCAGATCAAGCCAAATTGAAAAAGTATAACAAACAGCAGGTTTATTTGAGCAAAGTAACTCCTAGGCGGGTTCTCTAGTTCCAGAGATCAAGGCCAGAGAGGCCCAAAGGCCAAACCAAAGCAGGGAGATTATATAGGTTGTAGGGGAGGGGTGATGGCATGCACGCCACAGACTGGGTTTGTGCCCAAGTATGGTCAAAAGCTAAATGCTGAGGAAGGGACTTGGGCTGCTGGCGGCAACAGGAGAGGAAGTTGCAATCCTGTCCAAGAATGCAGAACTGGGCTTTTTGGTGCCTTTTCTTTGTTGGAGAGTCTCTGAGAGGGTGGGGTTTGGAGAGAGAGACAGGGATGGGGCTTTCCAGATCAAGCAGGAGTGAGCTGGAGGTTCCAACCAAACACACCCTTTGCCTACAATCCTCTCCTCCATTCCTTCATTTCCTCCTTTGTCCTGCTGGAGATTGAACCTAGTGCTTCATGTGTGCTAGGCCCACAACCTACCACCAAGCTGCACTCCCAGGCAGTCTTCTTGAGCATCTTAAGATCAATCTCATTTAGTGAAGGCTCTTCAAGAGTGATTCATTCCCTATGCCTTCTCTCTTGATTCTACCTGTGGATCATGTATCTATTTCATCACTGTGAATACAGAGTGACAGTCTCATCAGATTACCTACACCCTCTGCTTCTGCCCTGTGACCATTTCTAGAAAGATGGTCCCTCTTAAGAGGAAGATATTAGAGGAACATTAGAGACATTTGTTCCTTGCTAAAATCAATCTGCCCTAATGCTCTTTGATTTTGGAATTTCCCTTCTATTTCATGTGATCATGACGTTGAATGTCAATCATAAAGCCTTGCATCCTCTTCACCAAGATGTGAGCTGTGCTGGTCAGTCTTCCCCAAGATCCATGCACCATTGGAGCTCAGGGCCACAGTTCCAGTGTAGCCAGGCTGGGTCACATCCAGAGCCTGAGATGGAAGTGGAAAGATTGCTGATGCTCTCTCCCATCATAGGACCCCAGCCCACAGGGGTTCAACATTGAGCTCTCCCAGTGGCCTTCTGCAGAAAGAGCCTGCCTGGGAAAGAAACATACAGAAAGTCTCTGGACTGTGAGGGTGGTGAGAAGTGGTACCACCAGGTTATTTCAGTCAAGCCTGCCCCTTTCTCATAGGTGCCAAGAGGTTGCATCTAAGTGTCCAGTTGCCAATGTTTGCACCTGGGAGAGTCTAATAAACAGATTAGAGAGAATCTTTTCCTCTCCCGGTGATTCACATATCTCTGCATTTTTGGTCAGGGCTCTCTCCATTTCATAGAATCCTGTAGGATTTGGGAGCTGGCACTGTGTATCTGTTCATTCCAAGACAAAACCAAGACGACCTGTTTGTTAAAGACTGGATCGAAAGATTTCAAGCGTTTTCTTACACATCCCTGGTCAGTTTCACTTTGGCCATTTTCCTGAGGCTCCAGGACTGTAGTGTGCTTATTTCTATCTTTTGCATTCTCCCAGACTGCCCCTCCCTCTGTGTGTGTGCTCGCGTGTGCGTGTGTGTGTGCGTGCGTGCGTACGTGTGTGTGTGTGTGCGTGTGTATGTGTGTATGTGTGTTTGTGTTGGTGTTCCCATCGCCAAAATTCTGTGACATTTTGTGTTTCACGATTCAGAGTATGTGAGATTTTTAGGAAGGCCACATAGACCATAAACCCCTCCAGGGCAGGATGGTGGCATAGTTAGTGTTAGTTTGCCTAGCACCCAGGGTTCCACACCCAGCACCACACAGACCATAAAGCCCTCTAGGGAAGGGCTGTGGCACAGATTAGCGTTAGTTTGCCTGGCACCCAGGGTTCCATACCCAGCACCACACAGAAAGCCACCAACAGAAGCAGGGAAGCCTCTAGAAGCTTGCTGTGGTAAAATGTGGTACGGAATTGTCTTATGATACGTGTTCTGGATAGTTTTTCTTTGTCAACTTGATACAAGCTAGAGTGATCTAGGAAGAGGAACCTCCATCAGACTGGCTTGTAGGCAAGTCTGTGGGACATTTTCTTGATTCATGGCTGATGTGGGTGAGCCCAGCCCACAGTGGGTGGTGCCATCCCCTAGGCAGCTGGTCCTGGGTTGTATAAGAAAGCAAGGTGGGCGGCTGGAGAAATGGCTCAGTGGTTAAGAGCGTTGGCTGCTCTTCCAGAGGTCCTGAGTTCAATTCCCAGCATCCACATGGTGGCTCACAACCATCTGTTATGGGATCTGATTCCCTCTTCCGGTATACATGAAGACAGGTCACTCATATACATAAAATAAATAAATATTAAAAAAGAAAGAAAGAAAGAAAGGTAAGCAAATCAGGAGGAGCAAGCCAGGAGACAGTGCTCCTCCATGGCTTTTGCTGCTCTTCCTGCCTCAAGTTCCTGCTTTGAGTTTTTGCCCTGACTCCCTTCATGGTGGACTGTGACAGGGATGTGTTGTCAATCAAGTAAGCCCTTTCCTCTGAAAGTTGCTTTTAGTTGTGGTGTTTATCACAATAGCAGAAATTTAAGGAAGACAGTATGAATGCTAACAGTGGGGGAATTAAAGGTGGACCAGCCTCAGGTTCTTTTAGATCAAGGTTTACGACTACAAGAATCCTGAATTATTCTTGTGGATTTTCAGGCCTTAGAATTGGGGTCAGGTTTGGTGTCCCTGTCCTCTCCCTGCTTTGGGGAAAATGCTCTTTCTGCATCACAGTCTCTCGATGGGGAGAAAACTTTTTTCTCAGCCATAAAGAATGAAGTTATGTGGTTCGCCTGAAAATGGATGCGACTGGAAATAATCAGATTAAGTGAATTAAGTCACAGAGAAACAAATGTCATATGTTTTCTCTTGTTTGCAGATCTTACATTTTATATAGATCTATAAAATCATATATGCACATATATATAAATAAAAGTAAAATTGTCTAGGGCAACAAAGGGGACTAACAAGAGGGAGGGGGCTGTGTAAAGGGTGAAGAGTGGGGAGTGGGGTGGGAAAAATATGCTCAAAACACATTATATACTTGCAGGAAAATGGCCTGAATGTAGCCCCGGAGTAATGAAATAAGAGTTCTGTTCCGAAGATGGATTCCAAAAACCAAAGGGTGTTGGGGCGGATTAATTAGAAAATAATAGCAAAAAAGGGACAGAATGTCTAATTATCCTTGTGCTAAGAGGGACCTCTTTGCTGATGAGGCCACAGGGGAAATCAAGCCCCTACATAGGTTCATCTGAAGTTCAGTGGCAGTATAGAAAGATACGAGGTACTTATACATACATCATGTACACACACACACACACACACACACACACACACACACACACGTAGAAAACTGTGACAATAAGCCAAATTGTCCATTTTTAACAATAGCTTCTGGTTAGAGAAAATTGGCATTTTTCTTTTGTTATTTGTTTCTTCATTAAAAAAAAATTATGTGAGGCTGGGCGTGGCAGCGCATGTCTTTAATCCCAGCACTCAGGAGGCAGAGGCAGGTGGACCTCTGTGTGTTCTAGGCCAGCCTAGAGTGAGTTCCAGGATAGCTAGGGCTACACAGAGAAACTCTGTCTCGAAAAACAAAACAAAACAAAAAAATTGTATGTGTATATATCTCTCTGCATGAGAGTGTAGTACTACCAGAGGTCAGAGGTGTTGTATCCTCTGGAGCTGGAGTTGTGGTGGCTGTAAGCAGCTGAATGTGGGTGATGGGAACCAAATATGGGTCCTCTGATAGAAAAGCACACCTTCCTTTCCTTCCTTCCTTTGTCTTTTTTTTTTTAGATTTATTTATTATGTATACAGTGTTCTGCCTGCATGTATGTCTGCAGGCCAGAAGAGGGCACCAGATCTCATTACAGACAGTTGTGAGTCACCATGTGGGTGCTGGGAATTGAACTCAGGACCTCTGGAAGAGCAGTCAGTGCTCTTAACCTCTGAGCCATCTCTCCAGCCCCTTTCTTTTTTCTTTTTTTCTTTCAACATCAGCATCACTCTGTATAGGTCTAGTTTTTCTGAAACCCATTATAAAGACCAGGCTGGCCTCAAACTCACAGATATCTGCTGAGGATGATTGACTGATAAATAAAACGCTGATTGGCCAGTAACCAGGCAGGAAGTATAGGTGGGACAAAGAGGGAGGAGAATTCTGGGGAGTGGAAGGCTGAGGCAGGGAGACACTGCCAACAGCCGTGATGAGAAGCAACATGTTAAGACACCGGTAAGTCACAAGCTACATAGCAACTTATAGATTAATAGAAATGGGTTAATTTAAGATATAAGAACAGCTAGCAAGAAGCCTGAGCCATTAGGCCATACAGTTTGTAAATAATATAAGTCTCTGTGTGTTTACTTGGGTCTGAGGGCCGCGGGAGCCGGGCAGGAACAGGATAACTTCAGCTACAGAGATCCACCTGCCTCTGCTTCCCGAGTGCTGGGATTAAAGCCGTAGGCCACCCTACTTAACCACAGTATACCTTCTTAACTGTTGAAACCTTTCTCTCTCTCTTTCTCTCAAAATGTTTCTCCTGGATTATCTAGGATTATGGGGGGGTGTCCTCAGTCTGTAGCCCTGGTTGGCTTGGAATTCAATATGTAGACCAGGCTGGCCTCAAACCCACAGTAATCCACCTGACTCTGCTTCTGTCTCTGTCTTTCAAGTGCTGGGATTAAAAGTACCACACCAGGCCAAAGTCATCTCCATGTTGGATTAATTGATGACAGGTATGGAGCCCAAAGCTGGCATACCCTAAACACATACTGGGCATACTTGCTGTGGAGATATACCCCCAACCCTGATGCTATCTTGTCTTACCCTTCCCCCCGCTTTTCTTTCTATAATTGAGGGTCTTTGTTTCTCTTTCTCTGCTCTGTGAGCGAGTTTCTAGATTATGTTAACTAAGGTGGAAAAACCCACCCTAAATGTAGATGGCGCCATTCCATGGGGTGGGGTCTGGTCTTAGCTACATTTTTTTTTTTTTTTTCGTTTTTCAAGACAGGGTTTCTCTGTGTAGTTTTGGTGCCTGTCCTGGATCTTGCTCTGTAGACCAGGCTGACCTCGAACTCACAGAGATCCGCCTGGCTCTGCCTCTCGAGTGCTGGGATTAAAGGCGTGCGCCACCACTGCCTGGCTTTAGTTACTTTTCTATTGCTGTGATAAAACACCATGACCAAGGTAACTTACAGAAGAAAGGTTTTTGGAGGGGTGGGGGGGTCGGGGGGTGGGGCTTACATTTCCAGAGGTCGGAGTCCATCGCCATCTCTGTGAGGAAGCAAGGCAGCAGGCACCAGACTTGGCCACAGGAACAGCTGACAGCTCACATCTGAAACCTCAAGCAAGAAACAGAGAAAGAGAAATCATAATTAGGAGAGTCTTTTGAAACCTCAAAGCCTGTCTTCAGCGACATCCTTCCCCCAGCAAGGCCACACTTCCTATTCCTCCCCCAAGCAGCTTTATGTACTGCTCGAAAGGCAGTGGAACCCAGTGGAACCTGGGAGAATGGAGCTAAAAACGAGGCAGACTAAAGTCTCGTGCAATAACCATCTTTATTCAGAGCATCAGACAGTTTATGCTCTGAGGGTTAAGAAGAGTCACAAGAGTAAAGTGTCCAATCACAAGTGCAGGCCACTTGTGGTGGACAAAAGCCACACACAGCAAAATCATGTTTGTCCATAGAGGTGTATAAACAAATAACAACAGCCAGTTCTAACGTACAGTCAGAAGTGAACTCACTCGTTTCCAGTACACCTGAGAGGGGGCACAAAAGCACATTCTAAGAACAATTCTGTGTTTTTGAAGAAACTGAGGTCACAAGACTCTTGTTTTGTTGGAGCTTTCTCACAAGCACTCAGAATCCTTCTTGCACAACGACAGCTCCATTCTTGGACCATGTTCTGACAAACTGCCAACCGTGAACCAAGTGTTCACATGCCTGGACTATGGGGGACATCCCATTCAAGCCACCCCAGGTCTGGACTGAATACGAAGGAGAAAGTGAACTGAGCACCAGCGTTCATCTCTCTCTGCTTCCTGACTGCAGGTGCAACGTGCCTAGTCATTGCCACGGTGACTCGTGTTATTGATGTTCCTGCCACAGTGACCTTCCTGCCAGAGCCTGTATCCTTGAACCGTGAGCCCAAATAAACCCTTACTTTCTTAAGTTACTTTTGTCGGTATTTTGTCAGAGAAATAACTCATACAATAGCATACAGGGACCCTCACTGGGGTAAATGAAGAACTTTCCATGCACCCAAGCAAGCGTGGAATATAAGATATTCCACATGCAATATTCACCTCTCAGTCTTTAGAGTACAGAACACGGAAAAAGGAAACACAGAATCAATGGAACAACGATTCATCCCCTACTTGACTACATTTTGAAGACTTAGTTTTGTAAAGTTCAAGACAATATAACCTGAAAGCTAAAATGAAGATACTTATCTCAAAGGAATGGGAGGGGCTAAGGGCATATAGCTTACGGGCAGAGCTCTTGCCTAGCATGTGCAAGGCCCCAGGTTCAATCCCCAGCACTGAATAAAAACCTGACAAAGCTCAGAGAAGTGAGGAAGGAGCAGGGAAATGGCAAAATCAATAACATGTTGGCCTTGCAAATCCGAGGACCCAACTTTGATCTACAGGCCACAGTTGGTGAGCATTTGCTTGGAATCCCAATGCTGGGAGGAGGGGTGGAGACAGGCTGATCCCTGGGGCTCTCTGGCCAGACAGTCAGGCTGCTCAGAGAGTTCCAGGCCTGTGGAGACCCTCTTATAAAATATAAGATTGAGTCTAGCCAGATGACTTAGCAGGTAAGGGTCCAGGTCACCAAGCCTGATGACCAAAGCTGATGACCTGAGTTCGATCCCTGGGACACACGTGGTGGAAGGGGGGAGCTCTTACAAGCTGTCCTCTGACCTCCATATGCAAGACATGCAAGTCACAGGATGCTTGTGCACACACACACACACACACACACACACACACACACACACACAGAGTTAATAAAAAGGAAGTAAGATGTTTTAAAACAAAAAACAGCTTAGGGGCTGGAGAGATGGCTCAGACAGGATCTGAAACTTTCTTACGGATTCCTTGGAGACCTGCACTCATGTGCACATACCTCTTCCTACACACACATATAATCATAATTAAAGAGAAAATAAATCATCCGGGTGATTATGATGCATGCCTTTAATCCCAGCACTCAGGAGGCAGAGGCAGGCAGATCTCTGAGTTCAAGGCCAGCCTGGTCTACAGAGTGAATTCCAGGACAGGGCTACACAGAGAGACCTTGTCTTGAAAAAGCAACAATACCAACAAAAACCAAAAACCAAACAAACAACACACACACACACACACACACACACACACACACACACACACACAGAGAGAGAGAGAGAGAGAGAGAGAGAGAGAGAGAGAGAGAGAGAGAGAGAGAGAGAGAGAGATAAATCTGTAAAGAAATGAGCTTAGCTGGGCTTAGTGGTGCATGGCATTAAGTGAGTTTAACTTGAACTCACTAAACTTAAAGCACATCTCTAACTCTCTGTGAGTTCGAGGCCAGCCTGGTCTACACAGTGAGTTCCAGGACATTCAGAACTACACAATGAGACCCTGTCTCAAAAACAAAACAAAGAACAAGCAAAAACTTAGTTTTTATTTTAATTACCTTAAACAGATTAATTTGTTTATTTATGTGTGTGTGTGTGTGTGTGTGTGTGTGTGTGTGTGTGTATGCCATGTGTGTGCAGTGCCCAAAGAATGCCAAAAGAAGGCATCAGATCCCCTGGGACTAGAGTTACAGGTGTTTGTGAGCCACCGAATATGGGTGCTGGGAACCAAATTCCGAATCCAGGTCCTCTGGCAGAGCAGGAAGGGTTGCTAATGGCTGAGCCATCAGAACTCTAGGCCCTTTAGTTTACTTTTTAAAATTAACTTATTCTTTGTTTCGAACTTCATTGCCCCCCCCCCAGGGTGGTTAGTTGCCCCTGATTCAGAGATGAGCTTCGTAAATAGAAGTAAATCCCAAAGAATCATGCAGAGCCCAACGTTTTACAAGGACTGTAAAATGCTATTTTAAGGCAAACTTTATGGAAACAATGCTAAGATCAGCTATTTTGGGACTCGGGAGATAATTTTCTATCTTAAAGGGGGCTGTCCTGTGACTAGAACAGCAGGCAGGAAGTTTGACTTACCAACACATTGTTTCAGCTCCAAATTGTTTCTACTTGTTCCCTAAAAATAATTCCCTAGCTCCACCTTCTTATCAAGATATCCCAGCCCCTCCCCCGCTTAACGCATTAAGCATCAGTGAGTTCAAAATAGCCACGGTTTGTGCCGTCAGCCCTATGACAGGTGACTTCTTTTTTTTTTTTTTTTTTTTTGCCAGGTGACTTCTTTTGACCTGGAAACTCAGGTGCTGGAGCTCTCTTGAGGTGACCCAGCTCCAGGAGACAGAAGTTCCAAGTCAGACATAAATGACTAATGGGGCAAAACTCTACTCACAAAGCCGAGTGTGATGGCTCAGGCCTGTCATAACATTCAGAAGGCTGAGGCAGGAGGATAGCTTCAAGTTCAAGACTAGCTTTGTTAGCCGAGTGTGGTGACAAACACCTTTAATCGCAGCACCAGTAGAGGCTGGTGGGTCTCTTGAGTTTGAGACCAGCCTCGTTTATAAAACCAAATGGGTTTCTGGTGAGCCAGGGTTACACAGTGAAACCCTGTCTCAACAACAAAAACAAACAAAACCCAAAACTAATACTACTTTTGTCTATATAGCAAGTTTGAGGTCTGTCTGAGTGACATAAGACCCTGTCTTTAAAAAAATAAAATAAAGTCTCCATACAGGCACGTCCATGAAGTATTACGTTGAATTCCGCCTGGGGACTAGGAAGAGAACGGTGCAATCTCCACCGGTGACTTCGATGGATTCCCTTGTAGGAAGGCCTGGAGCTGATGATGACGGGCTAATGTGGAGATTAAACCCAAGTGACGGCATAAGCTGTCAGTGTAGGGGACATCTTGAAGCTGAGAGCATACACATCCACACCGAGGGAAAAGGTAAGGGAATAAGGCCTGGTCTGAAGACTGTGTGTCTGTGGGATGTTGTACTAAACCACAACTAAAGGCTTTCTGCTGGGAAGGGTAGCCCCTGTCTGTAATTCCAGCACTCAGGAGGTAGAGGCATGAGGATCCTGAAGTTCAAGGCCATTTGGAGCCGTCTAGCAGATCAATCAATCGAGTCACTTAACCAACCAATCTATCAATGCCATCACTTTTAGATACACCCTTTCCATGTTCTGAAAACAGTCATTCAAACAGGTAGCTCAAACAAACCACAATGTTCATAAGAATCCAAAGCGCAAACAATCCAAATGTCCATTAAGAGATGAAGGATGAGCCTATGCTGGCATGTATGCCTGTAATCTCAGCCCTTGGGAAGAAAAGTCAAGAGTTTAAAGCCATCCTCAGTTACAGAGTGGGAATTTGAGGTCACCCTGAGCTAATCGTGACCTGTCTCAAACAAACATACCCTCCCCCAGAATTAATGGATAAGTAAAATGTGGTATATTCAAGCAATATAATACTTTTCAGCCATGATCAGAAGGAATAAAATCCTGCTACAAACCACACGATGAGCCTCAAAAACACTGCGCTAAGTGAACTGAGCTAGTAGCAAGAGTTGCCTAGGACAAGCCCATTAATGGGTAGCAAACTGGAATAGAAATTACTGCGGGCCAGGAAGTGGAAATGGAATGATGGTGTCCCATGGAATTTCTGTTAGAAATGATGAAAAATCAACTCTGGCGACAGGAGGCAGTGATGCTTTTACAACATTGTAAAAATAGTTCCGCTGAGTTGCGCACCCAAGATTTACCCCATTGATCCTGCTTAACTACCCCCTCAAGTCACTGAAATGACCACTTGTGAAGATTCCTTCACATCCTCGTTTACCCATGCCTGAGATCCATCCAATGGCCTCTTTGCAGCATTGGCTCCTTTTCTCTGCAGCCGGTCTTGGCTCCTCTGACATTGCCCTCTTCTGGCTTCCTTCTGCCCTTCTCAGGGTCCTCGCCGTCCCCTCCCTGTATTTACAGGTTGGGTTCTGTTTCTCCTCTAGAGCTCTGTGTGGTGATCTCAGGCTTTCCCCCCTCCCTGTGAATGCCACTTGAAGACTGAGGACTTCCAGATTCACAGCGCTCATCCTTGCCTTTCTCCTGAATGTCCGACTCATTGACCTAGCACCTCCATGGATGCTGCCAAGACTGGTTAATGGGCACCACAAACTTAAGAGGTCTAAAATACAACTTTCATCCAGCCTCCACCTTCCCCCTCATACATATGCTCTTACTTCATTTTACTTATCTTTGTTTATTTTTGTTTTGATTTTTTTTTGAGACAGTGTCTCACTGTAAATCATTGTGTAGCCCTTGAACTCCAGGCAATTCTCCTGCACCAGCCTCATAACTACCAGGATTACAAATGTGAGTTACCATGATTGGCTCTATTTTTTTTTTTTTAATTTTTATGAGTGTATGCCACATGTGTGCAGTGCATTCAGAGGCCAGAAGGGGGTGTTATGTTCCCTGAAGCCGGAGTTACAGGCAGTTTTGAGCTACCTGATGGGGGTGCTGGAAACTAAACATGGGTCCTCTGGAAAAGCAGAAAGCATTTTTTTCACTGCTGGGCCAACTTTCCAGTCACCTGGCTCTATTGATCCATCTTAATGCAGCTGCCCTTGGTACCTTTCAGAGCCTTTGGCTCAGGACCGCTGGGGATGCTAAAATCCGCAGGTGCTCAAGTCATTCAGAAGGTGGGCTACTAGCATCTAACTTATTTTTTTTTTTTTTAATGCAGAATGCTGTTTATTGAAGGAGGGAAGAAGACTTAAATACAGGCTTACAGCACAATGGGAGAACCCTGGAGGGCAGAAGTTCGCTATTGATGTTTTACAATCTTGCATCTAAGCTGTTAATGCCCATTATGCAGGATACACAGACAAGAAACTTCCCTTAAGCATTCAGGAGGGTGGAACCCGGAAGGGAATTAGCATAGGGAGGATATCAAGGTCAAGGTCAGCAAGCAAGGCAACAGTTACCCAAAACGGGGGCCAGGGTCTTACAGGTCCCCCTTTTACTAGAAAATGAGCTTCTGACTTAGGTTGTGTGGGACATCAGCAGGTCACCTTACCCGTCATGGAGATGCCTGCCCAGGCCACAGCATCTAACTTATATACACCCTATTTTATACTTTTGTTCATTTGCTTTTGTTGTTGTTTTTATTTTATTTATTTTTAGTTATTATTGTTATTGTTACATTTTTTGAGACAGGGTTTCTCTGTGTAACCCTGGCTGTCCTGGAACTTGTTCTGTAGACCAGGCTGGCCTTGAACTCACAGAGATCTGCCTGGCTCTGTCTCCTGAGTGCTGGGATTAAAGGCGCGTGTGCTGCCGCCGCCGCCACCACCACCTAGCGCTTGTTTGTTTTTTGAGACAGGGTCTTATGTAGTTCTGGCTGGCCTTGAACTTGCTGTGTAGCCAAGACTGGCCTTGAATCCCTCATCCTCCTGCCTCCGTCTTCTGAGTGTTGGGATTACAGACGTGTGCTGCTGTGCTTAGCTTCCTCTTACATATTCTAAATCATCTTTGGCACTAACAGAAGGGAGTTCTGTGGGTTTTTTTTTTTTTTCAAGACAGGATTTCTCTGTATAGCTTTGTGCCTTTCCTGGAACTCACTTTGTAGACCAGGCTGGCCTCGAACTCACAGAGATCTGCCTGCCTCTGCCTCTCGAGTGCTGGGATTAAAGGCGTGCGCCACCACCACTCGGCTGAGCTCTGCAGTTTTAATGTTTGTCTATATCATTCCATGTTGGCACCTTAACCCCCCAGATTACTTCTCATTTCACTATTGGCTATGGAATTCAAGGCCTTTCACACACAAGCATTTTGCCAGTGAGTTCCATTCCCAGCCTGTTTTTGGTTGTCTTTGCTCTTTTGCAGGGCCTGCCACCCAGCTCCCAAATAAATCACACATGGAGGCTTATTATTATGAATGATGGTTTTTGGCAGCTCTCTTACCCTGCGAGGAAAAGTCACGAAACACGACAGAATCCATTAACAAGAGCCTACCTTTTTTAAGGGCCAGCCTGCACATGCGCACACAGGCCCACGTGACTACTCCATGCATGTGCATAGATCACGTGGTCACGCAGCACGATTATGTGACCACGCAGCGCATGGGTTACATAGGACATATGACCGGGAAATGACTAGGCAGAGATGACTTAAGTGTCCTGCCGGGGCATGCGTGACCATGGGGGTATGGCTGGAATTCCTATCAATGAATGCCCGACCTTAGCTTAGCTTGTTTCTTGCCAGCTTTTCTTAACTTGCAATTATTCTGTCTACCTTTTGCCTCTGGGCTTTTTCTTTTTCTTACTTTTGTATATCTTGCTTTCACTCTTACTCCATGGCTAGCTGTGTGACTAGGTGGCTGGGTGGCTGGTCCCTAGCATCCTCCTCTCCTTGTTCTCTTGCTCTTTATTCTCTCCTCCCAGATTTCTCCTTCTATTTATCCTCTCTGTCTGCCAGCCTCACCCATTTCTCTCTCCTGCCTCACTATTGGCTGTTCAGCTCTTTATTAGCCCATCAGATGTTTTAGACAGACCCAGTAACACAGCTTCGCAAAGTTAAACAAATGCAACATAAACAAAGGTGACACCTTAAAATAATATTCTACAACACTAGCCCTTGCGTTTTTGAGACTAGAATTCACTGTGTAGCCTAGGCCACCCTTGAACTTGCCACTCTTCAGCCTTCCCCTGCTGAGCGCGGGCAATACAGGATTACGTCATCACACCTGACTTTGAAGACATGCACTAATGGCAATTGGAGATGAGGCAAGATAGACAAACAGGGAAAATCACGATGCTATGGGATGCAAAGCATAGGAAAGAAACCCTCATCCCGGGATCTGGCCTACTTTTCCTGTTGTTAGAGGGCAGGAAGCTTTAGACGTTACTGATAAAGCCCAAATTGCCTCATAGAGACAACATATGTTTTTCTAAAGACACCTCAAACAAAGACGTGAAAAATAATAAATCAACTGTGTTTACATTGGGCTCAAAATCAGACCTATAACCTCGAGTTTTTAGCACTCCCCTCTCACTCCTAAGTCTGGACAAGACCCTCATAAATCTGTCTTACAATTTTGTTTACAAAAGAACATTCTTTAACCTTTAAACCTTGTAAATTATATGCTCTGAGTGAAAAGACGTAGAAAGCACAAGATCATAGATTGAGCCGTTGTGTAGTTAAGGTGCGACTCTCCCATTCCCACAGTAAGCCTTGTTTCTCCCCTGAGTGTCTCTTTACATCAACTCTGTGCTTAAGATCTATGTTAAGGCCAGGCATGGTGGTACACAGCCTTAGTTCCAGAGGCAGGGAGATCTCTGTCCAGGTTAGGCTAAAGTGGAAGTCTTTGGGGAGATTTTTGTGGGTTCGATTTGGGAAAGGGTAAATTGGGACGGCATCATGCTAAGTTTTTTTCCTGGAGTAGGAGTTTTGGAGTTGATGTCTTCTTGGTCAAGTCCAACTTCCTGTCAGAGAATAGGAGGTAAAGATGGGGATCTCTGAGGTAGAGGAAAAGATTAAAGTTGAAGGACAGCTTTCCCTAATTGACATGCGGTTGATATGGATCAACAGGGAAAGGTTCCTTCCATACTGTCTCAGTCAGGGTTTCTATTGCTGTGAAGAGATACCATGACCTTGCCAATTCTTATAAAGGAAAAACATTTAATTGGGTGGCTTACAGTTTCAGAGGTTTAGTCCATTATCATCACAGTGGAATATGGTGGCATGCAGGCAGACATGGTGCTGGAGAAGGAGCTGAGAGTCCCACATCTTGATCTGCAGGCAACAGGAAATGGTCTGAGACACTGGGCGTGGCTTGAGCATATATGAGCCCTCAAAGCCCGGCCCCACAGTGACACACTTCCTTCAACAAGGCTGTACCTACTCCAGCAAAGCCACACCTCCCAATAATGCCATTCCCCATGAGCTTATGGGGGCCGATTACATTCAAACCACCACATACACGGTGGAAGAAGAGAACTGACTCCTGCAACTTAGCCTCTGATCTCCACAAGTGCTTACACACACATACACACACACACACACACACACACACACACACTCACATACACACACACACACTCACACTCACATACATGCACAAAATCAAGGACCATGTACTTTTTAAAGGTGAAGGAGGAACTGATGCACACTTCTGTGTGTGGAAGCCAGAGGACAACCTTGGCTGCCTGCCTCTGCTCAGGTGCTGCCTTCTTTGGGGATTTTGTTTTTGTTTTTGTCTTTCTTTTTTTTTTTTTTTTGAAACAAGACTTCTCACTGGCCTGGAAATCTCCAAATAGGTTACACGTGTTCTGAGAATTACAAACCCCTGCCACCACACCCAGCTTCTTTTTTCATAGGTTCTAGGAATCGAACCTCAGTCCCCTTGCTTGCAGAGGAAGCAGTTTACCAACTGAGCCGTCTCCCCTGCCTGCAACTGCTATAAGTTAAAATTAAAATGTACCAGCTGGGTGGTGGTACACACCCTTAATGCCAGCACTCGGGAGGCAGAGGCAGGTGGATCTCGGTGACTTCGAGGTCAGCCAGGTCCACAAAGCGAGTTGCAGGACAGTCAGAACTGTTACAGAGAGAAACCTTGTGTGTGTGTGTGTGTGTGTGTGTGTGTGTGTGTGTGTGTGTGTGTGTGTTGTGTGTGTAGGGAGTACTAAGTGCTATAAGAGGCTTAACCACCAAAAGAAACAGGCATACCTAAAAAGTCTTAACAGTCAAGGGATATATTTTGCTACGGACTCACAGAGACCAACTGAAAACATTTTTATGATAGAGGAACTGTGATTTAGATAATATCTGAGAACTGCTACCAGTGTTTTTAGCATAACAATGGCATCATGATTATGGCAGAAATGCCTGTGGTTTTAGAGAAACATCCTGGAATATGAAGAGGTGAAGTTACACCATGTCAGAAATTAGTTATAGAAAAAGAGGAAGATGGAGAGAGATGGAGAACTATTGTGGACTGCAGGGTCTGCTCCAGTACCGTCTCTACTGCTGAATATACATGAAGGCTTTTCCATAGAGTGTTTAAAAGGCAGCAGCTAATGGTCCACTCTACCTGTAATCCTCAGGTGGGTAAGAGCCCGGTGGTGACCTCACTGTGGCAGTGTGGGTGGTAGAGGTGGGTGGGCTTTCCCCCAATCCTGGCTCAGCCAGGGTGGCCTCTGATCTGGTCTCTGGAGTTGGGAAAGGGAGCTGACCCATGGAAGACCCCGTCCCTCATCCACGCTCAATGGCTGGGAACCCCCGAGGCTGCTCCCTTGGCAGGGCATCCTGCTCTCCAGTCCAGGAGGACAGACTGAGGGATGGGAAGAACAGAAGTCCCTTCCCATTCCTGTGTATCTGTGGGTTCTTAGCAGCTCCCGCTATCCGCGGGTAGGGTGTGAGAAACAGTGGTTTATGGGGGAAAGTTTGCTATGTTTGTTTTCCCCGAGATCAAAACTCTCATCTCTCTCTCTGTTAACATAAGCCATCAAGGGTTGATCTGTATTTAATTTTCCCTGGGTGGTCCCGGGATGACATCTTGCCCTTTTGTCTGACGGTAGGAACTTGGGAACCCTATCCCTCAGTCCATCTGCTTAGCAACAGCCCACCTCCTGCTGCCGCCGGCCTGGCAGTGCGGGGTGGATTCTGTTTTGAAAACTCTTCTAAAGTTACAAGGCACAAGAGATCCTTACGTGTGAGTGCTCAGAGCCGAGAGCATGTGTCCTGGCCATGCCGGAGCAGATTGGTGTCTGCAAGCAAGAAAAAGCTGCAGAGGGGCTCCGAGCTGGCCACACAGCTTTCTTCTTTGGTGTTTGGAGGTGGGGGGCGGGGCAGTGGGTGTCTCACTCTGTAGCCCAGGCTGGCCAGGGAATTCGTGACAATCATTTAGCCTCAGCCTTCCTGGTGCTGGGATAACAGGTGTGAGGCACGCTACCTGGCAGTACTCCTTGCACATCTTTTTTTTTTTTTTTTTTGTTTTTGAGACAGGGTTTCTCTGTGTAGCTTTGCGCCTTTCCTGGATCTCGCTCTGTAGACCAGGCTGGCCTTGAACTCACAGAGATCTGCCTGGCTCTGCCTCCCGAGTGCTGGAATTAAAAATGTGTGCCACCACCGCCCGGCCTCCTTGAACATCTTTTTTTTTTTTTTTTGGCCTGTTTTTGTTTCTTTTGAGATAGGGTCTTAAATATAGCTCACTTGTCTCAGTCTCCCAAGGGCTTACAGGAGTATGCCCAGCTCCTTTGTAAGTTTTTTTAGTTGTTTTTAATTTTTAAAATTATTTTATTTTTGTTATTATTTTTGCTTTGTTTTCGAGACAGGGGTTCTCTAGGTCTGTGTAGCTCTGGCTGTCCTAGAACTCATTTTGTAGACCAGGCTGGCCTTGAACTCACAACGATGCCCCTGCCTGTGCCTCCCGAGTGCTGGGATTAAAGGTGTGCGCCACCACTGCCTGGATAAATTTTCCTTTTTTGAGACAGGTTCTATTGCTATCCCTTAGCCTGGCCGTCCTTGATCTCCCGGGTTCTCTTTTATCTTCCCCGCACATACTGGGGTCTCATGGTTGCACCACTATGCCCTGTACCTTACAAGAGTTATTACTTTAGTTTTTCAAGAAGCAGTGCTGTGGATTGAACCTAGGACCTCAAGCACGGTAAGCAAATGCTCTGCCACTGAGATATACCCCCATCCCGTCCCTGCCCAATCTTATAAAAGTCCATTGGGTTATGAAATAGGTATTTCTGCCTTGGAGAAGTGCCGGGCCTTTAGCTGCTGATTGGTCTGGGCTTCACATTGAACTGTCCCATGTGGTCAGTGGAGGCGACACTCCAAGGAGCGGATTTCGGAAGTCCAGGTGTCAGGATGAAAAAGCACCTTTGTATGCTGGGCCTCTGAAGGGAGGAGTCTGCCTCTTTCTCTTTGGCGGGAGTAGTAAGACCTCCCCAGGCTCTCTCCTATGCCAGCCTCGAAGAAGCCCGTGCAAGAGTGCTCTGCCACAGAAGCGCAAGGGTGGCCCTGCACATGACCATTCACGAGCCACAAGCATAGCTGGAGCTCAGAGGAGCCCTGGAAGTTCTAGCATCCACAGTCCTGTGGGACAACCTGGACACATCCTCCACAGTGCACAAAGAAATGCATAAAGAACAGCAGTGCTGGGACCAGGGCGGTCATTTGAAACGTCATACATAGCCTTTTCCTTTGCCTGGAGTCTGAAGTCTATTCTTACTGATCCCACTAAGAGGTTGGATCCAACTCGTGGGCACAGCAGTGAGTCTGCACAGTTATATGATACGGGCATCTTGACTTCATTACACCTGTGACTTTATACCATCTATTTTAGAGATATATATTAATGTAAATGAAAAACTTCATGATTCATTTTGTCCAGAGGAAGAAAAGAATGAGAGGAAATTAAGTTGCTGTGCCGGCACCCACACCCCTCAGCACTTGGAGCATCTGGATTCCAGGGGCCTGAAGCACACTCCAGGGCATGCTAGTGAGCATGCGCGTTTCTCCTCAGCTCTGCAATCCGATTTTAAAAGGTTCTCTCTTTCTGCTTTTGAATCTGCTCACGTCAAACCGCCTCATTGCTTGGAGCCAAATTGTTCCCATTTTTCATGTCGATGGAGGCAATTATACACCTAAGATGTGGGGCCTGTTCCTCACCTGTGCACAGACATATATCAGTCATGCCCGAACCCTCCCGGAGATAAATCCAGAGGTAAAGGCATTTGAGCATGACCACAAAATTGGAGATGGGAACGCAGACTGGAAGAGCTGCATCAGATCCATGTTGATTTCCAGGTGAGGCAGAATTCGGGTTTATTACCAGCAGTTATAAAATGGAGGACAATCCGGGTTTCCTTGGCGTTGTCCTCTCCACCCTTCAAGGTCTTTACAATCAGTTGGGGGTTGCTAATTACCGAGAAGAAATAGTGCCTCCTGGCTTGATGGATAAAATAAGTCAAGATATGTGAAAGAGAGCAGAGATAAGCCCATGGCAACCCTCTAGAGATGGTTTTAAAATCCACTTTCCGAGCCCGCAGGAGCTGGAAGCAAGCAGGAGGGTCAGAAATTCAAATCCTCACCTAGATGGCTAGTTTGAAGCCAGCTCGACCTATGTGAACCCAGTGTCTAGCTGAGGGTAAGTGCTGACTAGTTTTATGCCAATGCGACGCAAGTGAGAGTGATTTGGGAAGAGGGAACCTTAACTGAAAAATGCCTCCACCAGATTGTCCTGTGAGCACTCCGTGGTGCATTTTCTTGGTTGATGATTGATGTGGGAGGGCCCCGCCCCCACCCACTGTGGGAGGTGCTGCCCCTGGGCTGGTAGTCCTGGATGCTTTCAGAAAGCAGGTTGAGCCAGCCCTGGGGAGCAAGCCAGTAAGCAGCATTCCTCCAGGGCCTCTGTGTCAACTCCTGCCTCTAGGTTCCTGCCTTGAGTTCCTGCTCCGACTTCTCTGGATAGTGGACTACAAGCTGTAAGGTGAAGTGAACGCCTTTCTCCCCAAGTTGCTTTTGGTCATGATGTTTTGTCACAGCAATAGAAAAGTGATTAAAACACAGTAGCGGCTCATTGAAGGCTTAGCTCTGCTGTAAAGATTACACTGGGTGGGCACCTGCCTTCCCGAAGCCCCTCCTTCATGGGCTTACAGGCTCATGCCTATTTAGTAAGTTCCTTTCTTCTTCTTTTTTAAGACTACTTATTGTATGCACAAGAACGTTTTGCACACATGTGTGTCTGTGCATCACATGCATGCCTGGTGCCCACAGAGGTCAGAAGA